TCTTCTAGACTCAGGGTCGCCCGAGATTCTTTCTGAGAACCGATTCCCGCAGCGAGCTAGGGCTGATGATATAAATCCTGCGTCACCGATGATATGGAATATGCCATCATCATATGGGTAGTTCTGTAAATTAAGGTCCCTGTTAAGGGTCCTTATTATAATACGGCACCTAAGATTTAGGGTACCCCAAAAGGGACCATAATTTTGACAACTATCCATGATATGGGTAGTTCTCTAAATTAGCGTCCCTGTTAAGGGTCCTTTTGATAAGCGTCCATATGAGGTAGCGGTGGAGAGGCGTGCGAAGTCTCCCGAGCTTCCCAAAAGGGGTGGGTGCCAGCCAGGGAGTTCGAAGGTCTAGGATTAGGGTTGAGGATTTAGGGTGTAGGATTTAGGGTTTAGGGTTTTGGGTTCTACGGTCTACTTGGAGAGTCGTGAGTAAGCATGTTTATAGGCTCATAAGCACCATGACCCCCAGGAGGATCCTTCTTGGGATGTTTGTACGTCATTATAAGTCTACTAGGGTTGGTTTTTGGGACATTTTTATTTTCCCTAATTGGGTTTATAAGGGACCCTTTATATAAATATTTTTCAGTGGGTTTAAAGGCCAACCCAGTCTACCTTTGACCTACTCACTAAGTCCTCCGACCCTCCAAGTGCGGTGTGTTCTGGGATCCTTAAGGAGGGGCCTGCAAGGGGGAAGGTACTCTAGGGAACCTCAGAGAGAGGATAGGGGATTGATATAGGGGCCTAAATAATTACTAATACTCTTTTGGGGTTCCTTCTGATAACTGTAGTATAATATAACCCAAAGCCTTATTCGAATTATTAAGGCCCCTACATTAGGAGATTATTTGGTTCTATGCCCGCCCTTGAACCCCTCTCCCTTAATGGTCCCATCAGTGGGAGAGTTTTGGTGTCAGCTTAGTGTAAGGGCGTTTCTTTTGTTTTTTCAGTTTGGGGATTAGGAAGCACAGACAATGGGTTCGATTGCGAGAAAGACCAGCTCAGTTCAAGGGAAGCAAGTGCCAGTGGGTTTAGGGTGTTGGGTGTATGCTCTATTCTGTCCAGGAACAGATGTTGAGTCTTCCTTGATGTTCTCAACCTTCCGGGAACGAGTTGTTTCCGCTTTGACTGAAATGCAAATCAAGGCCTACCCTAAACCCTAAACCCTGCAAGCTGGGGAAACCCCCGAGCCTGGCTTCCATGCGACAGCATTTCTTTCACCAGCGGTTTAGGGTTTAGGGTAGCCATGCCGCCTCTGCGATAACCGGGTCATAAGGGTTTAGGGTTTACTTAGAGGGTCGGGGGACTTAGTAAGTGGTTACTCTATAGACTTGTAAGTACCATACCCCCAACTAAGATCCGCTTTAGGGTACTCATAACTCTATTTAACAGTGCAGCCGCACAGACTTTACAACTTTACATGACCACCCCAGCAAAGGACCGGCGAGATCTATCGGCCTCTGAAAAGCGGTCTATCGTTATGATTATTATGTGACCTCCATATGAGCGTATTAAACCCAAACCCTGAACCCTAAACCCCAAACCCTAAACCCTTGAACCCTCAAGCCCTAAAGAACGCGGTTCCAGCACGGTGCTAGAGATGAAAAGTCGCATCGCGTCTCGACCCGACTGACGGCGGTGTGGCTTGTTGCATAGTGGCTGATAGGCCTTCGAAGGGTTTAGGGTTGCAGGTTTCATAGGCCTTCTGTGGTATAGAAGCTTGATAGGCTTATCTAGGGACATGCATGAAGAACCTGCAATAGGTCAACCAAGATTGTTGTGCAAGGTTGCCAGGATAGCTTACAGAGGTAACCTTTAACTTTTTGCGCTTTATAAACTCCTACTATAAATTGAAAAGCTTAAGCTTTCTGGGGCCAGGGAACCCAGCCCCCAAGGCAGACCACTGAGTATTAAACTAGGTTGGTTTTTGGGACATTTTTTATTTTCCCTAATCGGGTTTTTAAGGGACCCTGTATACAAATATTTTTCAGAGGGTTTAAAGGCCAACCCAGTTTCTTCTTCATGCATGCGAAGATCCATGCACAACATGCGGAATCCAAAACCCCTACGTCTCCAAAACCTCCAAGTCTCCAAATGAAAGATAAAGCACACAGGGTCACTTTTAGGTACCCAAATAGTACGGCGCCCTTATAAGAAGTACCCTAATAGGTACGGGCTCTCATTTAGAGAACTACCCCGTGCGCAGCAGACTTCAGCCGTCCGCTTGAGGCCTTGGTGGCAACTCGTGGAGGCGACGGCTCTTCGGCTGCACCTACGGTTTAGGGTTTAGGGTTTAGGGTTTAGGGTTCAGGGTTTAGGGTTGAGGGTTTAGGGTTTAGGGTTTAGGGCCTACTTGCAGGGTCGGGGAACCTAGTAAGTAGTTACTTTATGGACTCATAAGTACCCTTTAAGGATCCCTTTGAAGGAACCTTTTTAAGGATCCCTTTACAGCAACCCTATTCTAGTTATTAAGGCCCCTACTTGGAGGGTCGGGGGACTTATAAGTAACTTAAAAGGGACTCTAATTCGGGTTATGGTACTTATAAGTCTGTAAAGTAGCTACTTACTAAGTCCCCCGACCCTCCAAGTACCCAGCCACTCCAAAGCCCCTTGATTCAGGACTTCTATAGGTTGATGTAGGGGCCTAAATACTTACCCATACTATTCTGGTGGTTCCTTATGATAGATATAGCATAGTGGGCCCCCTAATTGTAAAGGCCCCTATATTTTTCACATATCGCATTGGGGTGTCTAGAAGGTTCTCGTCAAAGCCACGGAAGTTCATAAGTGGAACCCATCATTGTGCAAGGTATCTTGCTTAGGTAAACGGTTTGCAGGGACTCATATCAGGAACGCATAAACAGAAACCCTAAACCCTAAACCCTAAACTCAACCTTACTAAACCCTAACCCCTAAAAAAGAAACCCTAAACTCTAAACCCTAAACCCTAAACTCAGCCCCTAAGGAAGGGTTTCCAGTCCAGTCTCTGGCTCATTCAGGGAGCGATTCTGCGAGTCCTAAGTCTGCTCACAGGAGACGTCCAAGGTTTCTTCTTGGTTAGCGTTGAGGGTTTAGGGCTTTAGGGTTTAGGGTTTTAGGGTTTAGGGTTTTAGGGTTTAGGGTTTAGGGTTTTAGGGTTTAGGGTTTTGGGGTTTTAAGGTTTAGGGTTTCTTCTTGGTCAGTGTTGAGGGTTGTGGGATCGGTAGGAACTACCTGCTTGTCGCAAACGGGGGAAGCAGAGTATAAGTAGGCTTACCTGGGTTCTGGAGTACCATACTTGAAAACTTTTTTGGAGACCTGTTCTTTAAGGGAACCACTATGAAGTTAAAGTCTATACTTTCTTAGTCTAGTTACAAGTCACGAGATCACAGCTACCACCAGTTTGCAGTCACAATTATTTAGGTACGAACTCATCACGCACAGCGAACCTCCCCAGGACATGAATCTAAAGACTTTAGGAGGGACCCCTTATAGGGATTCCCTTAAATAACCATTGTACAGTCCTTATATACCCCTTATATAGCCCGGTAGTCCCCATATGAACCCCAATAACCTACAAGGGTCCCTATTCTGGGTCCCTCCTAAAGCCCTTAGAATGAAACTACATGGGCATCAGGACATGAAACTACATGGGGGTAGTTCGCTAAATTAGGGTCCCTTTTTAGGTCCTCAATATAGTACGGCACCTTTATAAAAAGGACCCTAAAAGGGACCCTAAGTTTGAAAGCTACCCATGGACATTCGTCAATGGGATACGGTGCCTGAGTTCTTATGGCAGCCGCTGCTATGCTCCACTAAGATGTCCACGATGTTCATCGAGTACACTCATGCGTGTGCTATGATGTAGGAACCTGATTAAGAAACCTTGGGTCTTTATTAGGGTTCTTGATATGGATCCCAATACTTTAGGTAGTATTATTAGGGGTACCCCTTAAAGGGTACCCCTTCTGAACCCTACTTTTGGCTCTCTTAAAAGGGACCTTGTTGAGAGGGTCTATATCCCCAAGGGTCCCCCTAATCCTAGTTCCCATACTTTGGGGTTGTAGGACCAGGGTTTCTTAATCAGATTCCTACATTGACAAGAAACCAGTCCCCTGAGGGGTCTCTTGGTGCAGCATTGGGGTCTTACGATTTTACGACCTCAGGCATGTAAGGTTTTCAGGATTGGGTGCTTCTGGTTGAGGGTTTGTCGAACCTTCTGCGAAGCTACTGATGACTATCGACCGGTCGTTTATCGGGGAGGCTTCGGAAGATTAAGAGCTCTCTTTGGCGAGTCATTCTGAAAAGATCCTATTATCCAGGGTGTATACCTGTTTCACCTCTGAAGGTGCTACAAACCCGGACGTGTAGCTGATGCAGTACCTTCCCCTGTCATGACTTAGGGTTTGCGTAGCCTGGGGTCTACTTGGAGGGTCGGGGGACTTCGTAAGTAGGTAATAAGTAGACTTAAAAGTAACCTAAAAGGGACTCTAATTGGGGTTATGATACTTCTAAGTCTATGAAATAACTACTTACTAAGTCCCCCGACTTCCAAGTAGTGTTGGCAACCCCGAACCCCTAAGCCCTAAAGCTCCTCCTACGCCTCGAAGGCATTTCGGGCAGTGTTCCTGATTCCAAGCCCACCTCAGTCCCCAAAAAGAGTTTCCCCTAAACCCTAAACCCTAAACCCTAAATTCGAGGCTCATGACCTTGCAACACTTATGGGTCCCTTCAGAGAAATATCCTAGGTAGCATTAGGGAGACCCCTTAAAGGGGGACCCTTCTGAACCCCACTTATGGCTCTTTTAGAGGGGACCTTATTGAGAGGGTCTCTATCCCCCAGGGTCCCCCTAATCCTAGTAAAATAGGTCTTCTTGAATTACAAGACTTTGGGTTTAGGGACCCTAAACCCTAAACCCTAAACCCTAAAATAGGTCTTCTTGAACTACAAGAGTTTGGGCTCAAGACGAGAGCAACTGGCCGCAGTCTGGTTGCCAAAAACCTCTCGGCGCCTCATGTCGGCGCCGCTCGGCCGGTTTTTGAGACTAGTGCTTCGGGTTCAGGGGTTGGGGGTTAGGGGGGTTCGGGTTTAGGGTTTAGGGTTCAGGGGTTGGGGGTTAGGGGGGTTCGGGTTTAGGATTCAGGGGTTGGGGGTTAGGGGGGTTCGGGTTTAGGGTTTAGGGTTCAGGGGTTGGGGGTTAGGGGGGTTCGGGTTTAGGGTTTAGGATTCAGGGGTTGGGGGTTAGGGGGGTTCGGGTTTAGGGTTTAGGGTTCAGGGGTTGGGGTTTGGGGGTTTAGGGGTTGGGGTTTGGGGGTTAGGGTTTGGGGTGTTAGATCTAGCAGATTTATACCCTTAAGAGAAAAAGCACTACAGTCGTGTTGAATTCCGGTTCAATCTAGTCCCAAGAACGACTCCTTGGATTATTTCCTGGATTTTTTTGACCCTAAACCCTAAACCCTATCAGGAGTAATCTTATGCTTCTCGCTTCCCCATGCAGGCTCGTTAGGGGGTTCGGCAGGGGTTTCAGGCTTGGGATTCAGAATCCTTATATCATGATGTAAATAAATATTGTGGGTCCTTCACGACTAGATTAGGGGTTGGTTTATACTTTTAGTAGCTGTCTATACATATATACATATGTGTATGTATGTATATATATATATGTTTTTATACACATATACATATGTTTATATATATATATATATAGTCAGCAAGTCTAAGGCACATCATTTGTAGTGATTCGGGCTGCTGTATTACATATGTCCCGTAAATGCAGCATTTTTGAACATCTGGGCTCAAGATCAGTTTTGTGGGTTTGGGGCTCTGGTAGTTTCGGATTGAAGAGGTTTAGAGGCTACGGGTTTAGGAGTGTAGGGGTTTGGGTTTGAGGGTTTGCGTCTAGCTTCAGGGCTTCTGAGTTTAGGCTTTGTGGCTCTTAGTGGTATTTAAATGTTGTGTTTGTTGGATATCTCGCAGAAATATATTCAATACACGAATGAGTGGCCCGAAATCACGGCTACACGGCTAAAAACCTCGACCCTGACAGAAACCCTTGAAGGAACCTTAGAAGGAATCCCGAATTGCCCAAAAGATTTAAAAGAAACCCTCAAACCCCTAAACCCCCTTAAGCCCACAAAGAAACCCTGTCAGAATCCCCGAAACAATAAAAATTCCCTAAACTCGTATAGAAACTCCTAAACCCTAAACCCTAAACCCCTAAACCCTAAAACCCTCAACACCTAAACCCTAAACCCTAAACCCCCTTTTGCAGAACGGCTTAGGCCAGAGGCGAGGGCGATCCAAGAGCGGCGGCGATGTGTCCGGGAGCGGCTGGCAAGGGCTTACAAGCCGGGCCCTTGGGGGTTTCGGGTGGTTTGTGGTGCTTGGTTTTTTTGCCTTTTTGTTTACAGGGTTTGTGTTTTTAGGATTTAGGGTTTAGGGTTTAAGGGTTTTTGGATTTTAAGGTTTAGGGTTTTAGGGGGATTTAGGGTTTAGGGGTTTGGGATTTAGGGTTTAGGGCCTTTTGGGTTTGGGGCTAGGGTGGGCTTAATGGGATTACTGGGAGGGTCGCGCGACCTAGTAAGTAGGTAACAAGTAGACTTATTAGCAACCTAAACGAGGCTCCTAATTTGGGTCAGGATACTTATAAGTCTATAAAGTTATTGCTTACTAAGTCCCCCGACCCTCCAAGTTCGGGGGTTGCGTTTTGGGGGGTTTGGGGGTTCAGGGGTTCAGGTATTGGGCTTTAGGGCAGGGGAGGATTCAGGTGGCTCGGGTTTTGGGGTCCCTAAACCCTAAAACCCTAAACCCTAAACCGTTTGGGCCTCAGTTTATACAGATTTCCTAAACCCCAAACCGTTTGGGCCTCAGTTTATAAAGATTTCGAGTTTAGGAGTTTAGGGACCCAGTTGAGGTATGTAGGGTTTAGAGACCCGGTCTAAGGAGTTTAGGGCTTGCTCGTAGGTTCATGGCTTGTTGCCCACAGCTCCGTTTTGGGGGGGTTTGGGCTTAGGGATCTCTGCTGTGCTCGGCTTCGGAATCCATCCTTGCGTGTTAAACCGCAGAGGATAAGACGGAGATCAGTCTTCTGTGATTCTCTGGGTTCTGGAGTACCATACTTGAATACTGTTTTGGGGGACCTGTTCCTTAAGGGAACCACTATGAAACTAAAGTCTATACTTTTTTTCTCCCTGGTTACTTCAAAGTCTAGTTCTTGTGTCCACAAAGGCCTTAGACACAGGTGTATGTTGAGATGCAGGGTACTTAAACCTAAACCCTAAACACCGAAACCTTAAACCCCTAAACCCTCCCTAAAGGGGACCCTTCTTCACCCTAATTCTGGCTCTTAAACACGGACATAATTGAGGCGGTTTCTATCCCCAAGGGCCCAACTAATCCTGAATCGCATAGGGTGTTCTTGGCCCTAAACCCTAAACCCTAAACCCTAAGGCGGGAGTGGAATGAGGAGGACTGGCGTATCTACGAAGCCTCCAAGGGGCTGCGGTATGAAGCTTGGCAATAGGGTTTAGGGTTTAGGGTTTAGGGGGGTTTAGGTTTTAGGGTTTGGGTAGGTGACCTTTAGCCTTGTTGGTGTACTCTATGCCCTATATAATCCCAAGGTCGACCTTTAATTCCCTTCCTGAAACGATTATGGGACTTAGTAACTCAGGTTATAAATAGGGTAGCCATGCTTACACTTACTTATAAGCCCATTAAGGTATCCAAAGCCTTACTTACTAAGTCCCACGATCCGTTTGAGGAGTCCTTTAAGGAACACTAAGGAAGCCTCCATCACCCCCTCAGTACCCTTCACAGCGAACCTTACTACAGAACACCCTAAACCCTAAACCGTGTCGTACCCTTTGTTGGGGCAGTACCTGTCAAAGGAAACCCTGTCGTAGAACTTTATTGTAGTACCGTTCTCTAATTTGGGGGAGACCCTAAACAGTGTGAACGCCCTTTAAAGGGAATCCTGTTATAGAACTTTATTATAGTACCCTTCTTTAATTTGGGGGAGGCCCTAAACCGTGTTAGCGCCCTTTAAAGAGAAACCCTGTTATAGAACTTTATTATAGCACCTTTTTTTATTTGGGAGACCCTCAGCTGTGTTAGCGCCCTTTAAAGGGAACCCTGCTATAGAACTTCATTATATTACCCTTCTTTAATTTGGGGGAGGCCCTAAACCGTGTTAGCGCCCTTTAAAGGGAACCCTGTTATAGAACTTCATTATGGTACCTTTTTTTATTTGGGAGACCCTAAACAGTGCTAGCGCCCGTTAAAGGGAACCCTGTTATAGAACTGTATTATAGTACCCTTCTTTAATTTGGGGGAGACCCTGGGCCGTGTTAGCGCCCTTTAAAGGAACCCTGTTATAGAACTTTATTATAGTACCCTTCTTGAATTTGGGGGAGACTCTAAACCGTGTTAGCGCCCTTTAAAGGGAACCCTGTTATAGAACTTCATTACAGTACCCTTCTGATTTGGGTCTAGGACATTTTCAGGTGGGTAGTTACCGTTCTAGGAGCCTTATAGGAGGTCTATATGCCTTATAGAAGCCTTATATACCCTAAACTCCCCACCTGTAGTTTCCCCTAAACCTTAAACCCTAAACTCCCCACCTGTAGTTTCCTTTGTTTGGGGGAGACCCAAGTTTCTCTAAATCCTAAACCCTAAACCCTTAAACCCTAAACCCTAAACCCTAAAACCCTAAAACCCTAGAACCCTAGAACCCTAAAACCCTAAAATCCTAAACCCTAAACCCTAAAACCCTAGAGACCCAAGTTTCAAGGAAGCCCCCGGGGAGAGCTAAGGAAGACTCCATCGCGAAATGGCCTTTGGACATGGTCGAGGTGACTTGCTTCGGCGTTTTAAAGGGGATTAGGGTTTTAGGGCTTTAGGGTTTAGGGGTTAGGGGTTTAGGGCTTTAGGGGTCTAGGGTTTAGGGGTTTAGGGATTTTGGGTTAAGGGTTTCCCTACTTGGAGGGTCGGGGGACTTCGTAGGTAGGTAATAAGTAGACTGATAAGTAACCTAAAGGGGCTCTAATTGGGGTTATGATACATTATATTAAATGTCTACTTACTAAGTCCACCGACCCTCCAAGTAGGGTGTCGGGTTTAGGGTTTTTACTAAATTAGAAGATGACTTTAGCGGATCTTATGCTACAATTATACCCTAAACCCTGAACCCCCAAAAGAGTATTGGGAATTATTGAGGCCCCTTGAGGGTTGTGGGTTTAGGGCTGCCGTGGGCCCTGTTTCCCCGGTTTGGGGGGGTCTTGGGTTCCTTGTCATACCAAAAAGTTTCGGCCAAAAAGGGTTTAGGGTTTAGGGCCTAATACATTCCTAAATAATTACCGAAACTATTTTGGGGTTCCTTATCATAATTATAGCATAATATAGCCCAAACCCTAGTCTAATTAATAAGGTCACTATATTAGCGGCCTATACCAAGAAGGGAGCCCTTTTTTGTTCCTAGGATACTCGGGATCCTTTGGCGTCATTTTCTCGGTTGTTGCTTAAAGGGGTTGTGGGTTTGGGGTTTAGTGCTCTTTCCGTTAGTCTAGGGTTTAGGGCACCTTCTACTAGTCTAGGATTTAGAGCAGTTTCTGAGAGTCTAGGGTGATCTAGGTTCCAGTTGGTCTGGGAACGAGACAGAGGGAGAGAAAGGTCTGCAAAGCCAAGACCGAAGAGCCACAGACCGCCTATTTGGGGGGGGGGGGTCGAGCGTCTTTTTTGTAAGTAGTTATTTTACAGACTTACCCTTAGCATCACAATAGCCACACAGGCCTTGTAAATGGTTTGGGCCCAAAAGCCTTAAAATATGAGTCCTTGGAGGGTAAGGGTTATAAGCATCATAACCCCATCTAGGCCACGTATGAGTCTACCTACTACCTACTTACTAAGTCCCCCGACCTTCATGGTACCCCCAGACCCACCGGAGGCTTCAATCCCCTGACAAGAGATCTAATATAATGGCCTAAATAATTACCAATACTCTTTTGGGGGTTTAGGGTTTACGGTATAACTGTAGCATAATATCCCCTAAAGCCATATTTTACTTATTAAGGCCCCTACATTAAGATTCCAGGTCTTCTCCAACCAGAAGTATCGCTTCTATTTGGGAAGCATTACTTCAGCGCTGAAGTTTGACGAAAGGCAGCGGGAGGGACCAAAAAACATCGAAAATCGTCCCGCGGTCTTTTCTGGCTGCGTCGAGTGAGCTTTTCTGCCCACGCGCAACGTTCAGGGTTTCGATTTGTCCTGTGGGAAATTGCTGCTTGAAGCTTCACTGCTACGCCGAAATGGTAAGATGCACGCTTTACACCGATAAATCTTGCGGGGGCTGCCCCCCTAAGCAGATCTTCTGAAGCGTATAGTACGCAAGTCTAGTAAGCCCGACGCTCTCTGCTCAGATACAAGCTGGACTTTGTCTTTACGATGAATGCAGATGACGTGCGACGAGATGGCGAACCGGAAGACTGGTCCGCCTTCTTCCGCGAGAGGCTCCAGACGGGCAAAAGGGCGTCTGATCTCGGGGTCGGAATATGTAGCAACATGGTCTTTGAGGGCTTGCAATTATACTATAAGGTACCCGCAAACCCTATTCTGATTGTGTAGCCCCCGAAACACAAAGCCCTGCAATTCCGTCTTCTGACCAAGCCCTCCGGACCTTGAACAGATGAGCTCGAGATAGTAACCCCTGTAGACCCCTCAAAAAGGGCCCATTTTCACTTCCCTTACAATCCTAAACCCTTAAATCCCAAACCCCTAAACCCTCCTAAACCCTAAACCCTCTAAACCCTCCTAAACCCTAAACCCTAAACCCTGCTAAACCCTAAACCGAACCCTTGTAGACCCCTCAAAGCGACGCGAAACGAGGAATGTGACGAACTTCCTAAAAGCCCCCAAACCCTTAAACCTTAAAGCCTAAACCGCTATAGAACCCTTAAAGGAAACCCTTAAACCTTAAAACCTAAACCCCTATAGAACCCTTAAAATAAACCCTTAAACCTTAAAACCTAAACCCCTATAGAACCCTTAAAGGAAGCCCTTAAACCTTAAAACCTAAACCCCCATAGAACCCTTAAAATAAACCCTTAAACCTTAGAACCTAAACCCCTATAGAACCCTAAAAGGAAACCCGTAAAGGATCCTAAAAGCCCCAAAACCCCTAAACCCCTAAACCTTAAACCCTAAAACCCCTACAGAACCCTTAAAGGAAACCCTTAAACCTCAAACCCTAAACCCCTATAGAACCCTTAAAGGAAACCCTTAAACCTTAAACCCTAAACCCCTATGGAACCCTTAAAGGAAAAACCCTAAACCCTAAACCCTAAACCCTAAAACCTAAACCCCTAAAGAACCCTCAAAGGAAAAACCCTAAACCCTAAACCCTAAACCCTAAACCCTAAAACCTAAACCCCTATAGAACCCTTAAAGGAAACCCTTAAAGGAACGTCACGAACTTCCGGTTCGGCGGCTTCGACACCACGGGCGTGGACCCGGGAACGCCAAAGTGGGCGCAGAAGAAGGACCTGGGTGGAAAACTGTAGAAGGGGTTTAATGGGATCCCTAAGATGCCTTAAATTATAATAGGATCCCTTAAAGGCTTTAAGGTGTATTCCTTAATTAAGGGGTTTTTTGGACCTGGGTGGAAAACTGTAGCCTTTAGTAGTATAGGGTCCCAAATAAGGGGATCTACTTTCTAGATCCTTCCGCGGGTCTGGGTAAGGGTTTTTTTCCAAAATCCCTTAATTAAGGTATGTACTTTAAATTATAATAGGATCCCTGATATGCCTTGAACTATAATCGGATCCCTAAGATGCCTTAAATTATAATAGGATCCCTTAAAGGCTTTAAGGTGTATTCCTTAATTAAAGGGTTTTTTGGAAGGTGTGGGGACCTGGGTGGAAAACTGTAGAACTAAGTTGTCTTTTGGGATCTTTTATAGCTTCCCTTACTATTTTGTAGAGAACCATAACAGTAAATAATTTTTCAAAGGGCTTAAAGGACAACTTAGAGAAGCTCCGAGGTTTAGACTTCGGGTTTAGGGTTCAGGGTTTAGGGTTCAGGGGACCCGGAGCTTCCAAAATCCCTTTTTGTTCAGGAATGTACCTTAAATTAACATCGGATACCCTTAACCCTAAACCCTGAAACCTCTTTAATATGCTCTAAGGCAGAGCTCCCAGAACTTCCAAAATCCCTTAGTTAAGGTATGTACTTCAGATTATAACAGGATCCCTAATATGCCTTGAACTGGTGAACTATATTAGGATCCCTAACATGCCTTACATTATAATGGGATCCTTAATATGCTTTAAGGTATATTCCTTAATTAAGGGGTTTTTGGAAGGTCTGGGGACCTGGATGGAAAGCTGTAGAAACTTCGGAGTTTAGACTTCGGGTTTAGGGTTTAAGGTTTCGGGTTTAGGAATTTAGGGATTTGGGTTTTAGGGTTGAGGGTTTTAGG